AAAAAAAAAAAAAAAAAAAAAAAAAAAAAAAAGAAAAACCAAAAACACAGCCCAACACTAGGCCGCCCAGCGGCAGGTCGCTCAGAGAAGGGGAAGTGTGACGATAACATACTTCACGAAGGAAAGACAAAACTCTAGCTTTTATCTTTCCCGCGGGTTCCTAAAGGACCAACTGCAGGAATTTTCCGTCGTGCCCCGCGCCACTTCCGTTCGCGCACTTTAATTACGTCAGCGCGTCAGCTCTCGCGCTATCATCCGGTTGCTGAGGACCTTTAACAAAGATCTCGCGAAATGTGTTCAACAGATCCAAGCTAGCTTCTCACCCTCCTCCACCCCACCCCCTGTCTCTTTTCAAGTCACAAAATTCTCCCCTCCCCTCCGTCGAGCTTACGGGCCTCCTCCAATTTCCGATTTCAGACCGGAACCGGAAGTGTGGTGGCAGGGTCCGGCAGCGAAAAGCGCCGCGGAGCCAGAGCCGGGGCACGGCTGGGGCCGCTGCCCCAAGCCCCGCCACGGATCGCCTGGTGGTAGGGCTGCACGGCTCCAGGCTGAGGGTCGGTCCGGAGGCGGGTGGGCGCGGGTCTCACCCGGTTTGTCCGGGCGGCACCGTCCCCGGGCCCCCCGGGCGCCGCGAGAGATCATGTCTACAGCCTCCGCAGCCTCCTCCTCCTCCTCGTCTTCGGCCGGTGAGATGATCGAAGCCCCATCCCAGGTCCTCAATTTTGAAGAGATCGACTATAAGGAGATCGAGGTGGAAGAGGTGAGCGAGGCCTGGCACTGAGACGCGGGTCCCGGCTCTGAAGGCGCTTCCCTGACCCCTGTAATTCGCTGGGCCCTGCGGGGTCCACCTGGGAGTCCCCACACTCCTTCAGAGACGGGATTGGGGGCGGGGGGAGGGTCTCCGAGCTCAACTGCTCCGGAGTAGCTTTTTCCCTCATTTAGGCGCTCTTGAGTTTGGATTTGATACTCCGGTGCCTGGATTTGGGTCACCTCAAACTGGAGAATGAACTGGTGGGATGGTGCAGTCCACCAGTTCTCATGTCTGTAAGTGGTAAATTTGGCAAAGACTGTGGCCGTTTTGGGATTTCAAATCGCTAGACGTGTTCCTAAGGGCAAGGATTGTCGACTTTTAGCTGAGTGCCTAGCATGTAGGGGATGCTTACTAAATGCTTGTAAATTAATACATCATCAAATCTAATAAAGTGTTTCCCCGAGTAACAAATGGTTGTTTCTTCGATACCATAGAACAGTACTCGTAATACTGAATGTTTTGCCTTCAGTTGGGCAAGTATAGATGAATTTCACCTTTAGTAACATAGACTGGGCTGTGATGAAAGAGGTCTCAAGTAGCATATTTTAAAGAGGTAACTAACGATTTCTGTGACAACCAGAATATAACACCAGACCAGAAATCACTGTTAGGAAACTCGAATAAATTCTTTATTCGGCACTAATTCCTTTTAGAGCAAGATATTTCAATGTGTCTTTAGTAGATTTGTTCCAAGGACCATAAAATTTAGAAAAGTAAACATTGTATATATATATTTTAAAGACACACTTTAAAACGTCTTTAAACTTTGGCTTAAAATAGTATCTATCAGTTACTAATTTTTACGTCATTTAAAAAATTTATTAAACACTTTTCATTTACATATACTATAAAGAACCCTGTGTGTCCTAGTGAAATATTACAGGCTGTCGAAGAGTTATCTCTACTTTAAAAATCTAAAATTACTTTTGTGTAGCAGTAAGTTAAAAGTAGTGAGGTAATTACAATTCAGCAAATACATTTTTTTGCTGTACATGTTTTGGAAGAATAATGGTTTACTGCATCATGTTTTTCATCGCATAAAGTAACTTCAGAGATCATTGACAGCATCCTCATTTTATAAGGTAGTATGGTGGTAAAAGCAAGGTCTTTGGACTCGGAGGAAGGTGCAGTATAGCAGATATACCACTTAATAGCTGTGTGATTTGGGGCAAGATTCCAAACCCCTTTGAGCTTTAATTTTCTTAACTGTAAACAAGGGATAATAATTTCTATTTCATTTTATCTGTGTAACAGATTCTATTATACAATATGCAAAACACCCAACACAGTGCCTGACGCATTATTAGGAAACTTAGTTGTAGAGAGGAACAGTGACCTGCTTTAAGGTCGCATGGCTAAAAGAAGACCTGTATTTTGAAAAGAGGGGGAAATTTTTTTGGTGTGGGTTTTTTTGTTTTTGTTTTTTTTCCTGTTGAGACTATGATAAATTCCTTTTTTCAGAAGTGGATACTTGATCCAGCTTTCATGGCTAAGATTCTTTTTTAAGAAGAAAAATTCAGTGAGTCAGTATACAAGAATTGCAGTTTTTAAATAAGCATTTACGTGTACTCTGTGGTGAACTGCTATGCTTGCAGACTACAAATTGTTTTTTAATAATAACTTGTACTTCATGGTCTGCCACATGCTTTCACAGACTTACTTCACTTGATTCTTACAACCTTAGTTTTTGCACAATACTTTCTAAAGCTTTTTACATCCTTGCTTGGAAGAGTGCAAGTTACTAAGGAGACATTTATTATTTTGGTGCTCTCTCCTTAGACCGAATTCACTTCTGATAGGTTTTTGTTTCCAAGACCTTTCTTTTAGTTGAGATAATGTTTCAGTGTGTGTGTGTGTGTGTGTGTTTGTGTGTGTGTGTGTGTGTGTGTGTGTGTGTGTGTGTTGGTGTGTGTGTGTGTGTGTTGGTGTGTGTGTGTGTGTGTTGGTGTGTGTGTGTGTGTGTTGGTGTGTGTGTGTGTGTGTTGGTGTGTGTGTGTGTGTGTTGGTGTGTGTGTGTGTGTGTTGGTGTGTGTGTGTGTGTGTTGGTGTGTGTGTGTGTGTGTTGGTGTGTGTGTGTGTGTGTGTGTGTGTGTGTGTGTGTGTGTGTGTGTGTGTGTTGAGGACATTCCTGGGGAGTAAGTAGATTTTTGTTTTTAGATGAAAATTTGTTTCTAATATTAGGTGGTCATTTAGGGGTTTTTTTTCGTTTTATTCTTTTTCCTTTTTTTTAGAACCCACTTTATTTTCACATTGAAGACTGGATTTGGATGTTGAAGCCATTGCATAATTTCCGTCATATTCTTCATGTGAACACATTAAAACAGTGTTATATAATCCAGGGTGTACTGTGGGCACTCAATAACTATTTCTTAATTTAGATTCTGCTTTTAGGTTAAATCATGAATAAGAAAACAGAGAAAGATGACCAGAAACAAAAACTATTTTACGTTGTTTTTAATATTTTATATAGCATAAGTAAATGCTTTTTGAATTAAAATCATATTCTGTATTTCTCAAATAACAATATAATTTAATCAGCATTATATCAGTATAATTAGAAACTGTTTAAAAAAAAAATTCTGACCACTGGCCAAATATGTAATCAGTAGGTACATATTTCCAGGGTATCAGCTAATTTTAATTCTTATATATCTAATATAGTGACTCAGTAATATCAGTTGGCACTTCTTAAATTTAATTCTCATGTCAAATTATGTAAGGTTTCAGCCTCAGAAATCTACTGAGGAAATTTTTTTTTTAAGTCATTTAATTTTTACTATTCTGGATCTGGGTATAGAGAATGTTATAGAGATGAGATTGCAAGAAGTGCTAATGACTGTGGTGTCATAAAAAGTTTACTGGGCTTGTTATTTTGAAAATTTAGATGCTGTGCTATATTTCTGCAGCTTTGAGCAAGTCACCTCATGTTTCTGGGCCTGTGATTTCTCATGTAAAGTGAGGGATTGAACAGGATTCTTTAAGGTCTCTTCAAGTTCTAAAATGAAATTACATCATTGTTTCCAGTATTCATGCTGTTTCCACAGTAAGCTTAGAAGTTCTTTAACGACAGTGATCAGGGTTTCCCATGGAATTTAGTTGGCGACCAACTAATCCTGGGTAGACAGGGCAAATGATATCCCCATTTTACAGATATTGACAAGTGGCCATGGAGTTTGATTTCCTGGAAGACATGCTTAAGTAAATGGTAGAGCTGAGAATTGAATTTGAGATTTCTCAGTAGTGAGTCAGTTGCTCTTTCCACTGGATTTACAACATCACTTTAGTTCTTTCTGAGGTATGCTATAACCAAATCTTATCCTAGGAATGGGGAAACAAAATACTGACTTCTTTTATAGTAGTTGGTCCTGAGCATTTAATAGAATATTCTCCTCTGTGCACAATACTGCTAAGGTACTGTGGAAGATGAATGGAGGAATCCTAGGAATCTCTACTTAAAAATGTTTGACACTATGAGACCAGAATAAACACAGAACAGTTCATTACATATCAGAACCACACATTTAAAACTGTGAATGTAGTGTAAATTGAGTATGTAAGCGGTAACTTGAAAGTATAGTTAATCACAGAAGGCTCCATTGAGTGGGGACAGATTTTAAACTAGGTTTTGAATAAAGTGACCATCATGGATTGGGAAAGTCACTAAGATGAATTATACTTATAGTTGTTGTTCTGCCTAGAGTGCTCTTCCCCCAGAACTTCACATGACTGGCTCCTTCTCATGACTGGTACTGGTTTAAGTACCACATCAAATGTCACTTCCTAAGAGCAGCTTTCCCTAAGCAGCCTAGATCTTTGTTATTTCTATGAAATAACATGGCACTTACTAGTAACCAAAACTGTGTATCCTTCATGGCACTTACTAGTAACCAAAACTGTGTATTCCTTCATGGCACTTACTAGTAACCAAAACTGTGTATCCTCCTCTACAAAGCATAAGGTGCCTTATTTACATTTGTAACCTCAATGTCTAGTTCCTAGAAGGCTCTCTCTCATTATTTGTTGAATGAGTAAATGAAATTATCACAGCATAATCATGAGAATTAAATGCCCATCTGGTTCTCTAAAATTACATGTGCTAAATGGGCTTAAATAAGTTAAGTGATTTGGCTAAGGTAGCATTTACACTAGAAAGGAGTTCTGGGTTTTATTCCAATGTTGGTTCCATTACACTGCATTGTACTCAGTAAGTACTTTTGTTTAGCATGGGTAAAAGACTGTAAAGGGCCAGGTGTTGTGAGTAAACTAAGTATTTTGTGGGCCTGTACTAAAGTGCTGAAAAGACCCTATATACAATGGTTGCTTTTTAAAAAGGAGACTCACAATGTTGACCTCAGCTGTAGCATATGAGCAAGGCTACAGTATTGGACACATTGTCACTATAGCATTTATATATGTTCTTAAGCTTCATTAGAGAGACAAACAAAAGTTTTGTTTTAAAAGCTAAAATATACTAGGAAGGGGAAATATAGAAAGAACTGTGGCAGTGATATAGGAGGAGTCTTCAGAAAGTTCATGGAAAGATTTGAATTATCTTTTAATTATTTTTCCACAAACCTTTTGAAGTACTCTTGTATATTTTGTAGGTTTACATTATAAATATATGGGGAGGGCCGGCCCGGTGGCGCACTGGATAGTGCACCGCTTGGGAAGCGCGGCAGCGCTCCCGCCCGAGGGTTCGGATCCCACATACAGACCGGCTCCCGCTCACTGGCTGAGCGAGGTGCGGGAGCAACGCCGAGGTTTGCAATCCCGTTGCCGGTCCCTGGTCCGGTGCGGGGGCAACACTGAGGGTTGCGATCCGTTGCCGGACACGGAAAAAAAGACAAAAGACAAAAAAAATAAATAAATAAATAAATAAATATATGGGGAACTGATATTATAGAAAAACCTAGTTTATAGTGGTCTGGATAAACTGAATCCATAGATGT